GAAAGCTGTCGGGGTCGTCTTCAATTGCACAAATTTAGCAACGCCGGTTCCCGCTCCGGGCACGTTCCAGCTCATCCTTGTTGTCCCAACGGAGCCCCAGCCTGTGCACCTCCCAGAGGTCACGCATTCTCCGGCGCTAAGCCGCCGGTGCTGCGTTTCCTGGCAACTCCCCCCGAGAAATCTGGCTGTATGCCGAGCACTGTGTGCCGTACACACCACTGTCATCAATCAAAATTAGAATCAAAGCACCCTTCGATGACACGCGTAAATGGCTGTTGTTTGTTTGTCTTTGGCGTGGGTTGCGGCGGCGTCCCCATCCGCATCCTCCTCCTCCTCCTCCTCCTCGTCGGCGGCCTTTTGATGAGCTGTCATTTCTCGGGTGACACCTGAGTGGGACTTTGTCTCTTTGCCCACCAGCCACGCTCCTTCTCGGCTCTATATATACCCGTATACATGTAGCTATATTCCCTCCGCGGGAATCGGAATGCTAGACTGTTTGCCCAGCACGAGCCATGTTCATCCATGTGCGGCCGTATCGAATCGAAACGAATTGAGGGAACCGGGAGATTGGCCTACGCCACCATAAATTGCTTGCTTTTCATTAATTTTGAGCCCGGAATTTATGACATTTGGCTCGGCAGCTTCAAGCTAATGGCCACAAATCAGAGCATCGCATAATTTGGCTCCTGGCTGGGCTGCTGCCTTGATTTATTTCAGCCACATGTCGCACACAATGCGATTTTTTACCCAAATATGAAAGCGAAATGCAAATGACTGCCATCACACATGAACTGGGTGTGTGTGGCCACGGTCGACAGTGGCGGCATCCTGGCAATTCGCATTTACGAGCCCAGCAGCCACTTGCGGCGCCCTCGTCTCCATTGTGCGTCCCATTCATAAGGATTTCAGTGCGTGCCGGCTAACTGGGCGTACGGGGCGGATGCGTAACGTCGATTTAAGGGGCTCACAGCAAACAAAGTGGTCTGCATGTGTGAGTGCGGCTAAGTCCTGGCCGGATGCCCCATCCGCACCCCATGTAGGCCAGTGGACGTGTCACGCCTGCCAAGTGGCCAGTTGATGCCAGGAGCATCAGTGCTGATGGCTTGGCCATGAAATGAAAAGTGTTTTCCAAAAAATAGGTGTCATTTCTTGCCATCACTTTGGATTAGCTAAGGATTAGCATTATCTGTTGGCAGGCGCACTTCAATTTCAATTGCAATATCTGCATTGGTCTGCCACCCATTTGTGCTGGTTAATTCCACTTCGAGCAGCGCAGATCTGCCGGAAAAATGGCCAACTGGCTGCGCAGCTCGCCGGAGGAGAAGTGCTGCATTCGCTGCTGGAATTCCGGCCGGAATTGGAATCTGAATTAGATGGCTCCCTTCTGACTTGGGAGGGGCGTGCACAAATATTAATCATTCCACCGCAAAAGCTGGCAAAACAGTAAACACCGAGCGGCGATGGGAAAAACCAGGAAATAATAGGAGGCTGAAGGAATATTTACCTTGGCTTGCCGAAAATAAATCCTGAGAAAAAGAAAACAGTTTACAAATGGCGCCCATAACGCAGGTATTAATACATTTTGCCAACAGGCTGTCCTTATTTTTGGAAGGAAAGCGTATTTTTGTTATTTATTTTCGATTATTTGCTCCGGGCACTGGCCAATTTATATTTCCTGGGAAGCACGAGCTCTGATTGACAGTCCGGCTAAGCGATTGGGCAACCTGGAACCTGGGACCTGGATCTGGGCTCCAGGATCCTTGGGGCATCCTGATTGCTCAATTAATATGTAGCTATCCATACTCAATTCAATTCGCTTTTCCTGCCAGTGCTTGTTTACCAGATGCTTTGCATTATTAAACGGACGCCGGAACCCACACAAAATGGAGGAGGAACCTATCCACTGATTGGGTTGTGTGTGGTGCTCACTGCTCACTGAATTTTACTGTCCTTACTGTCTTTCCAGCTGGTATTTGCATAGGAATTCTGGACTCGGGTTTCATACTGGGTGGGCTTTATTTTTCGAATCAATCGCCGTGGAACTCAGCTAATTAACTGACTAAGTGAGTGGTTTTTCCTCGGGCGGATTGCAGATTGCCGTTCCCTTTGTTTCTCTGGAAAAGCTTCACTCGATTTATGTATTTAGCGCCATCGCGCCCAGGAGCAAAGCACAAAAATGAAATAAAAGAAGCAATGGCGAGGGCGAAGCTGCGAATAAGCCCCGAGATTGCTCATTTCAACGTAATTCGAGTTTGGAACAACAAAAGGTTTGTAAAATATTGCAGCCAGCAACTGGGAGCCAAGTTAAATAAAAGTTTTCGGCGTTAAGAAGGAATTTCGAGTGAAAGCCAAAAAGGATTTTGGGCCAAGTCAATAAACAAAGGGTCCTTGGCGGCGGCCCGCGGATGCTCAAGTCGCTGTTTTGTCTGTCGAAGGCGAACCTGGTGGCCGGCTATTGACTTGGACGCTTCTCTCCCTGGAGATCTCTAATTACTGGCCTGCGTAAATATATAAAATTAACTGCCTAATGATATTTATTCGGCAACTCTAGAGGAGTCGCACGACACCTTTAAACCTTTTCCTGTAACCAGTGCCCAGTGCCCAAAGCCAGATGTGCGCTCCATTAGGCCAGCTTTTAGCCGGCTTTCGGGCAGCCGGCAGCCGGCAGCCGGCAGCAAAAATTTAATATCCATTTGTGTGCTGTGGAAAATCCGAAGCATTTGCCATAATTATCTCGCTCCTCCTGTCCGATTGCGCAGCCCTAAGCTGCCTGCCAGGACCTGTGTGTCCGGCTCCTAATGCTGATTGTGATGCTGAGCATACGCAGAAGTGGGCCGAGCTGTCATGCCCCCGCACCTGGGACACAACAGAGGACACAGCGCAGCAGTTGAATCCCAGGCTGCTCATCCTCGCATGCCCTTCACAGCGCGCAGGACGATGATGAAGACCAGTGGCCCGGTGACTCCGCTGCTTGGGCGGGATCATGCCCGCTGGGTCATCTTTAATGCCGCAGGGGTCTAGTTGTGGTCATGTAGTCCGCTTCCACGCTACTAAAAACACTTTCCACTTCCAAAACGCTGCTTAAATTGCCATTGTGCTGACTTTATTTAATCGAATTAAACGCGAATTCTTAAGCAGCTTTCCCAACCGGTTTAAGTACGTGACCACTTTCGGAGCATTGTTACTGCACTGCACTATTTTTACCAATATTTTGTAAGCCAAGGGACATTCATTTCTTAGACTGTTCTGTTCAAGACGTATCTTTGCAATTGCAATAGCTCTACAATGGACCTTGGAGCGTCCGTTTCCACGTAACTGGATTCGATTAGAACTTCCTTTTTGGCCATTTTCTCCTTGGTGACCTCTGAACTTCAAGCGCTTGTGGACTTATTGTCAATCGGGCAGAGCATTCAGGTGGGAGAACATTCAGGTGCCAGCATAGAATCAATTTACAATTGCCAAACTCCGGGCGCCTTGTTTATTGCAGATAGTCCTCGGACTTTCAGTACTGCGAGATGTCCTTGGGTGGTTCGATGGTTGGGTGGTTGGGTGGTGAAATGTCTTTGGTAATAAATGGCTTTGTATCGCGGGAACTAGCAGCTGAAATGGACAATTAATTCATTATTCAGGGGCATTCCCCGACATGCTCATTATGCATTCACAGTGTATCTGTTGCTTCTGCTCTGTTCTTATCGGAATCAGAGGCATTACCCATGCTGTATCTGTATCTCTATCTGTATTCGTACCTGTAGCTGTATTCGTATCTGTATCTGTATCTGGCCATTAGCGCCGGCAAGTGTAATTTTCGGGTGCCTGCACTGCATTAACGGCCGGCAATCACTACTCCATAAAGTTTAAAAACAACAGCCGAGCCGCTGCGAATGCAAATACAACAATTAAAATTAATTAAAGCCCAAAGTAAATAAATTAAATGTAGGCTGGATTGCCGAAGTGCCATCCGACCGACCGCGAGACAAAAAGCAACCAAAATACCCATACCCATGCCAGCCTCCCATTTCGATCCGCCCAACGCTTTTGGCCACTTTAATTAATGTTGCAGCATTATTTATGCGCCCGACAAAGTTTGTCTTTCGCGGCAAGTTCGCCCAACGGGTCAAATTGAATTAATCAATTTGGGCAAACGTTAACCCACATTTTTTGCTGGAACGATCTGCACTGGGCTTGCCAAGTTGCAGATAAAGTGAATCAGCTGGAAAGTTTTCGAGCGCTTGGACGGCCAAGGAATCCGTCTGCAGTTAATTTGGTCCGCCAAAGTCGATTACCCGACCGAACTGGAGCCCAAATAAAGTTAGCAACTTGCAACACAACCTGTTGCGGCCACCGAAAGCGTGGAAGCGGCCAAAAAAACCACTCGCTTTTCACTTTATGGCTCCTCCAGTGTCGCGAAGTGATTTATAAGCTGGGTCGCAGGGCAAACAGGCGGCGAGAAAGTCCTTAAATAATGAGCCAAAGGTGTAAGCTGGAGGATGGCAGCTGGGGGGCCACGGAATCACCGGAGGTCCGCTAATTAAGTTGACAAATGTGGCCTTTCGTTGCCTCTGCCGCTCTGCCGCTCTGCCAGGCGCCACTGAATCCGCAGCTCCATGGGCAGACATGCAAATTACTCACCCTGCCACTCCAGCCACTTCAACCACTTCCACCGATTGCCGAACGTTCCGCGGGCTCAATCTCAATCTCAATCTCGTGTGCCCCCAAATGTGTGCTATGCTATGCAGCGATTTGTCCTTTTCTGAGCCACTTCCGTAGGTTTATAAATGGGACTAGGAACTAGGAAGTACACCTATTCCCAAGCTAAATCGTGGCCGACAAGCAGACATCATGATTGGGTGATTGGTTGTTTCTTTGCAGATTTGTGGGCTGTAGGAAAGGAAGTTTTCCTGTCGCATTCAGATATTGGAACCTTGATCGAGCTGTGATCGAATAAAATAGCACCGAGCAGCGAGCACAGCATGAATGTAACAACAAGTCGGGCTGGCAACATGTTGCCATGCCTGTGGTGAGTTGGGCCGCCGTGTCCGTTGGCAGCATGTTGCCGCCATGTCGCCTGTCGCCGGCTGGTGGTCACAAAAAGCGCCGACGGTTGCCGTCAGTGCTTCGCGAGGATTGCGAGGCGCGACACACAACGCGGAACCCGAACTCCATACGGCTGTGCCGCAATCGAATCCCGGCCTGACCCATTTTTGTTGCGTGAAATTGACGAAGTGTGTCCACAGTGCAAGTGCGAGTCCGACTGCGAGTGCTGTTCCGGGATCACCAGCGAGTATCCTTCGGCCTCACGATTGACGCCTTCTACCGCTTTCTGCGCCAGGCGCTGCCGCTGGCCGAGGAGGCCGCGATCCACCTGAATGGCACCTTCGCCGGCGCACCCGGCGATCTACTCAACTACAGCGGGCAGGAACTGGATCTCGGACTGGATCTGGATGTGGATCTGGATCTGGACATGGGCCTAGCCAGCACGGCCAGCAGCAGCACGCCGGCGCCGTCCACAACTGGCAGGACACCGGGAAATAGGAGCGTGGTGCGGGTCAGCGCCGATGTGCCCATCTGGGTGGTGCCGTGCTACTCGGCCATCCTGCTGTGCGCCGTGGTCGGGAACCTGTTGGTGGTGCTGACCCTCGTCCAGAATCGTCGCATGCGCACCATCACCAACGTTTTCCTGCTCAACCTGGCCATCTCGGACATCCTGCTCGGCGTATTCTGCATGCCCGTCACCCTGGTGGGCACCCTGCTGCGCCACTTCATCTTCGGCGAGGTGCTCTGCAAGCTCATCCAGTTCGCTCAGGGTGAGTGGTGCAGGCCAGTAGGCCAGTTCATTTACGTCTGGCCCGTTTCCAAATTAAAAGGTGATCCCAAGCACACAACTGTGAATCCATCCCACAATCATTAGTACCCAGCCCCGCGACCGAGTCCCAGAATCTCTCGTCGAATGGCGCCCAACCAGCACGACCTTGAGCGGATTCGCCAGCAGATCGTGTTGGCCAACATCCAGGAGCTGCTCCAGAAGATAACGCGTCGCTGCTTCGACGTCTGCATCGCCATGCCGGGACTGGAGTTGCGCTCCACGGAGCACGACTGCCTCACCAACTGCATGGATCGGTTCATGGACTCGGTTCAGGTGGTGTCGTGCCAGTATTTTCGACGCCGGCGTCGCCATCAGCAAATCCGTTTGGCCCGGTCCTCCGCCTCCTCCGCATCACCACCCGCATCCGCATCCGCATCCGCATCTGCAACCGCATCCGTATCCATACCTAAGTCCGCAGCAGCAGCCGCATCCGAGTCCGCATCTAGTGCCGCCAATAACGAAAAGGTCAAATGATGATTGAGTCCAGACAGATGTGCATGTGCCATGTGTGCAGTTCATTCCAAGCCCAAAAAGAAGGCATATGTTCCGTCGTAACCCAGATCCCTAGTGTACGTAGGTGATGGCCACCTGTCCCACTGATCCCCAGAGCTTTCGAGGATGATTTCATACTTCGAGGCCTTTGGTTAGGCACGAATGGGTCGTCTAACTGGAAATGAAAGTGGATTTTCTGCAGGAGTGGCCGTCGCTGAAGTCTTCGCGTTGGTGCCCAACAAATCATAGTAGTGTCTTTGCCAACTGACAGAAATTGGCAGAAAATAAAGATTTTCTTTAATGTACTTTCACTGTGCTTAGGGCGCTCCTTAAATTGGCATTCTAGGCCCTTTTGAAATCACTTAGCCAAGCAGAACTTTGCATATTCAAGTTTGTGGAGGGGTTAGAACATAAGTTTAGATGGTGCGCTTTTCCATCGCTTTTCCACTTATGGAAACTGTGCCTGCCATCGATTTTACGCACAATTTCCGCGCTTGTTTATGGCCTAAATCATATTTCCTTGGCAAGAACGCACTATATCTCGTCTCCCAATCTGCATCCGCCTGGGAATGGCCGTATTTTATGAAGGCCCGCATCTAACGACAGTCGGGGTTTCCCGGATTTTGGGCTCCTCAAGGGTTCCAAAGATTAGGAATCTCTCACACGCACACTGTAAACACACGAGGCAAGGTCCTTAAAGCCATTTCAACTCAGTGACGGAGCCCGAAACTCCAGTTTGGTCCTTGAAAAGTCCAGTCAGATGGCTGAGCATTCTGGCCAGATATTAATTTGTGTCTCCAGCTCGGATAAGGCTGATGTGGGTGATGATGATGAGTCCGGTTCAGCCACCTGTGATATGGTGCGCCCTCGGCGTGTTTCCACGTCAGGTCGGGCGTGGAACGGGGCGGAGAACATGGGTGCGGAGAACAGAGAAGTGGCCCTGACACCTGTCACAAATGCTCATCAGCAATGCGGTTGGGGCAGCTTCAAGGTGCCGAGCGGCATTAATTTGCTTATTTAATCAAAATGCATGCCATCGGACATTCTAATTATTTGCTCAACGTTTAGGAAAGCTCCTCCAGCTTGGAGGAGGGCCATGCCAACGAAGGACGAAGCTGACTCCTGGCCAGCCCTTCTCCCTGTCCGCAAAATTAATCCCGACTGATCCCCATTTCCAATGCAAATTACTCGCCGGCCGGAAGCCCTGCTCCTGCTCAGTTCCTTCTGGTCAATTTCCATATGCACACGCTGTCGATCCGGCGCCTCCTGCTCCTAACCCACTTTCCATTCCCCTGTTTCCTGCTTTCCTGGCACTGAGCCACTCAAGTTGCAGCCTAAACAGTTTGGTATTGCTTTCAACTGTGGCAATATTGCGAAAAGCACTCTGCTATGCAGCGTCACGACTCGATTTTCTTCTAGGCTTCCAGCTCCTGCAGCTCCTCCAGCTCCTCCACATCCCCTCGCTGATCCTTCTGACACCCTTACTTGCATTTTCATGACTTGTTTCCTGTTTCCCGCGTTTCCGCTTCAGTCGCGCTGGTAATGCTGTTTGTCTTGCTGCAAGTTTGTTTTCGGTTCTGCCGGAACCGCTGTTCCCTCCCACCAGCTCACCCGTCAACTGCCCCCCGCATCCTGGCGTATCCTGGCGCACCCGGGCATATCCATCTAGGCCGCCCCCGCACTAACTTATTAACAACATAATAACAAAGGCTGGCAAACAAGTTGAGCGCTCCGGCACACACATGCCAATTTGTTGAGCAAGCACTCGGCGCTGTGTCGAGCCCCAGAAAAGTGCTGGCATTCCGTTTCCAAGGACTCCTCATCCTCAGCCGCATCCCCATCCTCATTCGAATTGCCATTCCTTTCCATCTGTTGCACGGGGCGTCGACTCGTGGGTCGTAAATCTGAGAATGTCATCGCTGGGCGGGCTGAGGCACCAATTTATGGCCACCATCACGTCAAGGTGCAGCGATGTCCTGCCATGTCCTAGCTGGCCACCTCCCCACCTGGCTGCTCCCAGAGTGGGAAGAGGGCGTGCCCCGCCCTTTGATTTATGCTCGTAATTATGCATTTGTGGCCAGTGGCATTTGCATTGGGCCACTGCCATTGGATTTCATCATCTTGCTGGCCATTACTCTTTTGGCCGTTACTTATGCAAATCGAACCGACGGATAAGCTGCTGTAAGTCCATATTGGCCATAGCTTCTATATATTCGATCAGTTCGGGAACTGTAACAAATTCGCAGGAATATCAAGCTCAAAGTTGGTCGGAATGCAGGTGGGCACTAAAAATACAAAGTTGTTGACTTTTGGCGCAGAATTACGGCGAATAAAACTGAAAACAGTGCTGTTTTTATGGGGATAAAACAATTTCCATCGACATGCCAAAAAGAATGTTCAACAGAATGTTTCAGCTGAGCAATGGGTGGGTAGCTGATAGTCGATAAAAGCGCTTTCTCCTGCAAACCGAGCTTAAAGCATCTACGTAATATTAGCAACTTTTCGCGGTGTCGCCACAAAGAATGTAAAGCGAAAGCGCTCCGTTGATAAACAAATTAGGCGCAAATCGCAGCTTTTCTTGGTGCAGCATCTGTGCTCAACTGCCATTGTCTAATTAGCTCAGTTTTTATACAATTAAGGTACCTAAGCGGGGATGCAGGTAAAAAGCAAAAGGATACGCCCAAAAGGACATTTGTGCGCGGAAAGGAGTCAAATTGACATCCTTAGACCTTAGTCTTCAAGTCTTGGCTTATTTTTCCTGCTCGACCTGGTTGCACTTTTTGTCTGGCACTTTGGGCAGGCTGGTCTTGAACCCCGACCTCTTAAGTGGGCCGTCCGATTCGCTGACAGCTCGGCAAATGAATGATTAATTGAATTTTCCATTGGCCATTTTGGTGCTTTTTTGTTTTTTCTGTTGCTATTACTTCTGTTTTCTGGGCAAGACGTAATCATTAATTAGGCGAGCAGGGGGCAGGGGGCACTCGTAGTGAGTAAATTTATGCACAAACACACACACAGTTTCCAGAGTTTCCACAGTTTCCACAGTTTCCACAGCTCTGGTGGAACTTGGCAAACATAAAGGGGCCAAATGGCATAAGTAGAAAAACGAATTGAAATAAGAACTAAACACGCTGCTCTTCACTGGCAACTCGTTTTCTTTTTCTTTCGCTTGTTATTTTTATATTTTTTTATATTTTTTCAGCGCCCATGTGGGCGGTACATGTTATTGACGCCCAGAGTGCCGCCCCATGACCTTTCCGCTGGGCGCCAAAGTTTGAACGGCATCCGCAGAGCAGCGGGATTATTTGACTGGGAGGTCGGCGAAGGACGCAATTATTTGAACTTATGAGCACAAGTGCACATGTACACTCGTAGCCATGTTTTATGCGCCTTTTAATGAGAGTTAACTGGGCAAGAACTGGCATATGAACTTATGAATATTCAACTTAGTGCCACTCCATCATGCTGAGTTCCCCCAGCTGCCTTTGTCCATGTGGGTGCAATTGTTCTGGCTATCAGTGGCGATCTGATCTGAATGTGTTGCATGTCGAACTCGACACTTAATGGGGCACAGGAATTGTTTTGTTGGCGAAATAATGGCAAGTTATGACACCGGGAGTTACGCACAATTGACGTGGTTATTGATTTTCAATTATATAAATATTTGCAACTATAAAAAGCCGCCGCTGCCACCGATGTCCTGTGGACAAAAAATATTTAAATACGCTTTTTATCCGGCAATCCGTGCGCTTCTGTGCATTATCAATTTGCATACACCTGCACGAAGCGGCGAAAGCGCTGTGTTAAATGAAAATATGCTCCTAATAAAGTTTTTCATCGGTTTGCCGCATAATGGTTTTCCGGCTTTCAGCCGTACACTGCTCGAAATTCAAGGCGAATGGCGAATGGCGAATGTCTAGTTGATTGCGCTGCAAAATACATCATATTTGTCGAGTACATAATCACAGTTGTCGGTTCACAGAAACAAGAAGATGCTCGACGAGAAATGAAGCAAGCCCATTAAAAACTGAACCAATTAAAGCGACATTAAGCGCCATTTTTTGCGTGTGCGCATTATTTGCGTGTGGAAATGAAATATACTCCCGAGCTGAATTAATGAGACCAGTGGGGCGGGGTGGGCTTTGCTGACAGGCGTCTTAAGGACACAAGGACACAAGGACATCGAGAACATGGAACCTGGAGCGTGGAGCGTGGAGCGTGGAACACGGTGCCTGGGCACAAAGGGAATACAAATGAAAGGTGATTTTTCAGCTCGTTTTGGCCTTTTGAGGATTTCCAGGGGGCTGCCATAAAGTGCGGCTGACAGGGCCTAATGTGAAATTAACATGGCTTATATGCAACGCATAATGCCCTGTTGCATTGGTGTCAGCCACACACCCAGTCCTGTGTAGCGGATCAAGTTGCCATCCAGACCAGCCCAGCACCACCCAGCACCCAGCACTCCCACAAACTGCCGCAAGTTTCCTTGGACTCAATTTATTTTGCAATTTATCGCCGGATAAAAAATGACTGCGAGCGGCATTCCTAGTGGAGCCATAGGAGGCTGTAGAAACAGTGCCATGGCAACCATTACGGGGTACTTAAGTAGCCCGACTGGGCGAAAGTCACGCCGGGAACTGCCATCCAAGGCAAAAGTTAGGTTGCGTATAGTTGGAACCGAACGGACGGCGATTACTAGGTATTATATGATCAAATGAAGGCGGCACAGCATAAATAGGAAAAATAGTTAATAGCTATTAGCTGAAAAAGGTCGTCAGGGTCACTTGACAACAACTTCAAAGTAGCTCGGCTCGAAGTATTTTTATAGCTAGGGAAAATATAGGTGAAGAAGTGGAGATCGGGGTCACCAAACTCTATGCTCACAAGTTTGACTGATTAGCAGATTTCATTGCCTTAAAATGAGGAAAAACATTCAAGAACAAAAAAGAGTGCTAGAGGTCGCCAAAAAACCAATTAATAATTTTCAGTCTCAGCTGAGCGATAAACATGCATTATTAATTCACAAATATTTGGCGTAATATGAGCTCCCGCAAAATGTGTCGCATTCAGCACATGTTTAATTCGTTTAATTAAAGTGTCCAATAAATGAACGCTCGACGAGACAAGAGAGACAAACTTAAATGCATGTCAAACGCTGCAG